TGGCTAGTTCAATTTGAAATGGCCAATAGCAGGCTGGCTATTGAACCCCATTTGCCTGTCAGCTGTGGAAGTTAGCCAGCAGGAGAATGGAGCTGTGTGGGGAAATGGGGTGCCAACGGTTGCTTGACAGTTACTATTAACTTAAGCAACTAGAAACTAGTTATCCGGTACTTACCAATCCCCATGGGTACCAGTTAACTGGTAGTTTATTGCGTCTACATATGCATGCATGCATCTAAAAATGCATATGTATGCACATGCTTATTAGTATCCATGCATCACAAGAATATATCTGCATGGATGTGAATCAAAATACATCTATATGCGTATCCATTCTGATATATGCATTATGCGCGCGTGTGTGTGTATATATATATATACATGTGTGTGCATTATGATCATGAATGTTGTTCAAGCAAGTGGCAGGGATGCTACATTACTAAGCAAGATAATTCCCTATCCACCATCCTATATGTTGGGGGAGTATTTAGAGAAGAGCCATGCAAGTACAGGAAGATGCAAAGTCCATGTGTTTGTCATTTGAGGCAGGATTTGAACCAGGGACACAGGTGCTGCAGGGCAGTAGCTCTAACCCCTAAGCCACTGTGCATTGTGATCATTAATGTTAGAGTTAGAGTTAGAGTTAGAATTAAGGTGGCCATACACTCTACAACCATCGCAAGACTATAGTCTTGCGATGGTTGTACAGGGATTAAAAAAACGTACGATCTGCCTATCTTGGACAGGCAGATCGCACTCTCGATCATCGCAAGCCCGCCCCCCTGAGGGGCGGGCTTCCGATGACCGCAATGCTGAACGGGCAGTGTGCGCGTGCGCACACCGGCCCGCTCGGCATTTGTCTTCCGAGCACCGTTCTAACCAGCCGAGAATCGTACGATTCCCGGCTGGTTTTCGAACATGCTGGTTCGACAGAAGACGTGCGACCGTACAGTAGAAACGGTCGCACGTCTCCGTTCACACTGCTCGATTATCGTACGAAAAACCGATCGCATACGATTATCGTACGATAATCGTGCAGTGTACGGGCACCTTTAAGGTGCCCATACGATTAAGGTGCTCGGTTTAAGGTGCCCGTACGATTTAAGGTGCCCGTACGATTTAAGGTGCCCGTACGATTCTCGGCTGGTTAGAACGGTGCTCGGAAGACAAATGCCGAGCGGGCCGGTGTGCGCACGCGCACACTGCCCGTTCAGCATTGCGGTCATCGGAAGCCCGCCCCTCAGGGGGGCGGGCTTGCGATGATCGAGAGTGCGATCTGCCTGTCCAAGATAGGCAGATCGTACGTTTTTTTAATCCCTGTACAACCATCGCAAGACTAAAGTCTTGCGATGGTTGTAGAGTGTATGGCCACCTTAGAATTAGATATTTCCACTCCTTAGAAGTGGCTTGGAAACAGTAAGCAGTTTAAACTAAAATGTCAGGTTATAATGAGCAATATATTTCCATTTCCACAATCCTAAATAATACAATTGAACATCCCCATGAAGCAATCCTTTAAACTATAGCCAGAAAGTATTTCCTAACATGTAGATGCTAAAGTGCCAGCCACGTGTGTTAACCGCATTAACAGGCGTGTGCATTTCCAGCATTGGTTCATGCTTATTAACAAGCTATTGCGCAATATGCCTACGCATGTACGCACGCAATTCGGGCATGTTTTTGCATGGCGTGTTCGTGGCATGTTTGGCAGGTTAATAAATCAGGCCCACGGAGTCATTAATGAGGTAACCTGCCCCGTGTCTTGACATAATATTTATTCTATTCCTCCGCTAGTTAACTCGGGTATGTTCGTGTTAACAATGGCTGAGTGATGTGTAAAACTAATTAATAATTGTTAGATGGCTGTCAGCAAAGTGATAAAGCCTGTTAGCCATTAACAGCTGGTTAGTAAACAAAAAATATTAAAGATATTTTTCTTTAACAGATTTTGTCTTCATTCCTTCGAGTGTCATGGAGAACACCACTGAAGCTCCATACAGCGGTCCTCAATATGCCACGTTTGGGATTCCAGATATAATTGTGGTTGTGCTTTATTTTGTTTTTGTCCTTGTCGTTGGAATATGGGTAAGTCCAGTGGCATGCATTTCTTCTCTACTAATGTACTTCTTGTTAATACCGCACTAGGTTCTCCACCGATAATCCAAGAACATAGTGATAGGTTAATCAGCTGTGCTATTACTGTATGTGTGTATTAGTAGACCACAAGATGCTTGTGGGAAAGGGATGTATGGGAATAGTTACAGGGCCTATGCGTGCCTTTCTGCATCAAGAACACCTAAAACCACTGAGAGTCTGATGGTCACAGGCATGACTTCCAGAGGCATAATGGGGTTTGTAGATTTAGAGCACCTGGTGCCATGGTTGCCTACCACTGGTTTATAACATACACATATGGCGTTTCACTATTACATCTACCAGCAAGAATTAAAAAGCAAAAAATTATTGGTTAAGCCCACAAGTCTTTTTATCACTGCTAGTTTTCCTTCATACTGGCTTTTCAACTTAACAAACTGAATTGGGGTTAGATAAAATATTTTATAGCTTGCATTTTTTATTTTTTTGGGACATTTTGGATAAGGTATGGAAGGAATGAACCTTTATTGATTTTTGATTGCTGTGTCCCAGTTTGAGGGATTTCCACTACCTTCTTTTACTTGATAGGTGTTAAGCTCACCGCACATATTAGAATCTGGCTGTGCAACGTCCTTTAGATCAGCGGTCTCCAGCGGTCCATGAGAAAATATTGGTGGTCCCTGGGCCCCTCTGATGCCGTGCAGGCTGGGCCATCATTGAAGCGGCATGGAGTCTCCGGGGCCCCCTCTCACTGACTCAAGCAGCGGCTGTCACAAGGAATGCGCGGCTCTCAGTACAGTGCAGGCTTTGCAGGAGGCGGGGGCATCTAATCATTGCCCGGACTGAGCAGGCTGCGGGACATAGGGAAAAGTGGGAAGAAGCCAGGTAGTAGTGGCTCAGTGTGGGGGAAGGGGAGACACGGGGGTGGTTGGGGGCAGTAAATTATGAGTTTAGTGGTCCATGAGGTTCGAAAGGTTGGCGACCGCTGCTTTAGATCTCTGAAGAATATGTAGTGCATGTGCCTGCTGTATTGTACACAAATTGATTAGATAGTTTAGGTAGATCCTTGTATTAGATATTGAATTGCTGTTGATCTGTCCATTAGATAGATTTCCCCAAACCAGGTTTTGCAGCATGTTGTTTTTTGTTTTTTTTCCAATTGTGTGACAGGGTTGCTTTGCAATGCATATGCCCTTCCAGGCATTGCTATAGCTTTGAGATGCATGTGTTCTTCCAAACATAGCTGTAGTTTTGAGATGCATGTGTCCTTCAAGGCATTCCTGTAGCTTTGAGATGGATACATTATTCCAGGCATTGCTGTAGCTGTGAGATCCATGCGCCCTTCCGAGCATTGCTGTAGTGTATAAGTCCACCCAACCTTCCATTGTTGGCAATCTGCATAACTTAGAACCCTTTTTTTCCTAATTTGTACTGCAGGGAAGGTATTTCCAAACACACACATTGTAGCTTTGCGGTCTCTCATTTACAGAAAGCCAGCTAATGTGTGTGAGTGGCATTACTAACTAGTTCCTTAAGGCCATCAAGCAGATTCAAGCTAAAAGTATTAATCTGATTTTCGTTACCTGAAGGCAGATGAGATGCTACAGTGTTAATCCATAAATAGGGCCACATCAACCACAGCGGGTCCATTCTTCTTGCTCCTTTTAAAGACCCCAAACATGTTAAAATTGCACAAAAATAAGCAAATGTATGGCATGTTCTATATGCCTTGTTATGTGTCTTGTTATAGTATTAAAGAATAAAAACAGTGAAAGATAACTTAAAATATTTTTCTTTTGTAGTCCTCTGTCCGATCAAGCAGGGGGACAGTAGGAGGTTATTTCTTAGCCGGAAGAACCATGACGTGGTGGCCTGTAAGTATACATGTTAGGATTTCTTTTAAAGAGTTGTAGACAGTAGGGATGCTCAGATATAAAGTAACGTACTTGGTACAAGTACTGATACTTTTCCAGCTACTAGACTAGAGATTATCGGCACTGGTATCTGAACATCACTAGATCACTCAGGCTTTTGTTCACATCACAACTGCCTCAACATTTTTTCACTCATACTTTTGTACAAATCTTGATTAATGTTGATCTTTAAGTTATTTTATATAAAACAATTTGTTATCCAGATTTACTAGACATTCAAAACATGGTCCTTCTGACAACTCTGATTTTGTACTGCGGGCTTATTTTGGATATGCTTGAAGAGTAAATTCTACTAATTGATCTCTTTTGTTTGTCCATTTTGGTCTGTTAAATATACCTTTTTGAAAGTGTTTTATTATATCTGTTCGATAAAGGCAAAAAAAAAAATCTTGTCAGCCGATAACGTCCTGAGCCTGTGCTGCACTCAAATCAATTAAATTGTTTTTAACTACTGTTCTGGAGTCCTGCCCTAGGATGTCAAAACCGCTTCTACTTAGGTACAGTTAGTGCCACCCTAGTGTAGGAAGTGTGCTGGGCAGGGATTTAAGTTGAAAATTTCACTTTTTGTGATGGGGTACAGTCTACAAAGGTTGGTTATTGCTAGCAATTAGGGACTTGATTTGTGATTTGTAAACTTTTAGTACATTGGCAAATATCAAAGTTCAGAGGCAAGGAAGTGTTTTGCTTTGGACTACAAATCCCAAAGATCAGCCCTAAATGTAAAGCTTATCCCAAGGATGAGCCCAAATGTAAAGCTTGGCAAACCTTTATATTTGTTTGGTTCTGCAGTAAAGCTCAAGGAAACTGATCCCCAGTAACTTTTAAAACACCTTACTTGGCAAAAATGCTGCGTGCACAGACTTAGTTACAGGAAAAGTTTAAAAAAAACAAGCATACAGGCTGCAACAAACAAACATACACATGCATCTATTACACTATCCTTTCTAGTGCATGGAATAGTTTCTACGAGAGGAAACACTAAAGGTACTTACTTTCCAATTGCAAATTCCTTCTTCGAACAGCATTTAGTGGCAATGAAGCGTTCTCCGAAAAATGGCTTCTGGTTCCAGTCTCTCTCAAAGCCCTTTGTTCTCAGTTTTGTCCTCCTTAGTCAAATTTCGGTCCACAGTTGTTTACCTTCAAACAAACATTTGCTTGGCTGAGTAGACCAAGTGTCTCCTTTGCAAATTTCCAGTGTGTGCTGAAAATTTCATTAGAAGATAGATAGATAGATAGATAGATAGATAGATAGATAGATAGATAGATAGATAGATAGATAGATAGATATACACACACATGTGCAACACAGGAAGGCAAACTGCAAAACTACATAATGATTCACTTATCTCTATTAATTGACATTGGAAATCATGGCATGCTTCTTAGGTTCTTACAGGCATCATTCAAAATTTGAAATAGATCTTGTAAAAGCTTAAGTGTATGAGACAGAAATACATACATAAAAAATAATAGAACCGTAATCCCCAAACCATGTACTTTCAGTAGAATTAATTTCTAAAAGCTCCCTCCCCCAAGTCATGCGGTCCTTACTGCAGTCCTTACGCCACTTCTTACTTTTGAAGAAGCTTCCGAAGTCTCCCAGTTGGGATCTTCTCTTCTGCTCATGGGTGCTGCTATCTCTATTCATTTAAATGGAAACGTAATCCAACATTGGGATGGATAATAGACAGCTTTTCAATATGAATGGAAATTCTTCAGCTGGGAGACTCACAGTTAATAGGCCATTAGGCTCAGTGAGGGACAGAGAGTGAACAGCTTGGAGCAAAATGGACCGGTTATTACCTGAGCAATGTTCTTTTTTAAGACATTTCAGTTGTTTATCACTGGCTTAGGAATTTAGCAATGCCTTCATCTTGAGTATATTTGCGACAGAGGACTTTGCTAAGGCATGCTTAATAAAAAATGTTCTAGTTTTTCAAACATTTGACTTCACAAATCAGATTCCACAGTGAGTAAGTAGTCTGTACAGGTCAAACTCTAAAAAAAGACATATTACCCAGTTAACAGTTCCCTGGTCACTCTATCACTTCGTTTGATTAATAAATGATCACATTTACTATTTAACATTTAAAGAAGGAATACAGTTGTTGGTAATGTTTTAAAACAGGTACATTCTGAATACAAGATGTCTGTGAAGTTTTTAACCTCCACATGTCATGGTATAACTTTTTAGTAATTAGTCACAATTAGCTGTTCTTGATCCATAACGTTGAAGATGTTTCACCACTAGATCCAATAGGCTTCCTTAGTTCTAGTTAGGAATGCGCCCAATCCGATACTAGGTGCCGATACCGAGTATTTGGGTGAGTACTCGTACTTGCCCAAATGCTCCCGATGCCTATCTCAATACCAGAACTTCCGGTATCAGGATGCTGGGCGGCGATTCCTTACATGCTGGCTGGCTTCCTGATTAGAAGCTGGCCAATCAGGAAGCCAGGGGGTGAGTCATTACCTACCCCCTGGCTTCCTGATTGGCCAGAAAGCCGTCTCCATGCTTCCTCGTCACCTGGTGACAAGGGAGCATGGAGACGGCTTCCCGGCTAAAGCGGGAAGCCAGAATTCCGGGTATCGGTATTCCGTATCTCTGAGTACCGGAAAAAAAATATGGGTACTCGTACTCAATACCGAAAAACCTGTATCTGTGCATTCCTCATTCTAATAAGTGTCAGGAACATACCCCAGCATTTAAAGCCACACAGGTAGCTCAGTCACCTTAATCCAATTACCATGGAATGTGTCACAGGAGATGTTGATCTTCCAAGAACATGAAGGGAGGTGTGAATGTTTGTGAAACAACAGTGTTCTAATTCCAGTTATCATGGTGCCACACAGTCTGGGACACACTTTCATTGTTTTAATTGTAAAGTGTTATAATAATAATAATAATGATGAACATTTGTTGACAATGTGTTTTTAATATAATTTCATAAACCACGTGTATGTTAGACATGCACCACATTCTGTGAGAAAGTTGTGCATTTGCCCATGTAAAAATGATCCCAACCCGCGTATTCTTCCACCATGCTCCCACACGGATTCATTGCTCCACCGAAGCCCTCACTAAATATCTGGTGATTCAATAAAAACATTGTCAAGTACAAACCTTCCACATCATGTTACAATTGTTAATTATAAAATGATATTGCTATTAATATTCTCATTTTGCAGATTGGAGCATCACTGATGTCAAGCAATGTTGGGAGTGGCCTCTTTGTTGGGATGGCAGGGTCAGGGGCTGCAGGAGGGATAGCAGTTGGTGGCTTTGAATGGAACGTAAGTCTGTATTCTGTTACGTGCAAATAAGTGTAATCTGACCTTATTTCAGTGCATTTTCCTATACATATTATACTTTAGACAGCATTAAGATTCAGATAAATAAGCTTAATTCAAAACGCTTTACACAAAGATAAGAATCATGATTTTTAGCCGTGTCTGAACTCAACCTAAATAAAGTTTGATAACACTTTATAAAGTAATTCAAAAGACTGAACCATTGTTTGTTACAATTGGCCTTTGAAGAGCATTGAAGTATTTAGCATTGCAAGCAACCCTGCAATTACCACTCAACACTCTTGGCCTCCCTTTGCCTACTTATGGCCAACATAAGGTGTCCTGTAGATAGCTGGAAAGTTTATTCCCTGCAGTAATTTTGTGGCTTTGCCCCGGTTACCTATCAGTTTAATGTGTCTGTACTACTAGCTCAGTGGGCTTTCTGTGTAGTAAGTAGGGTTTTAGTGTGTAGTGCATTGACAAATGCAAGTATTTAAAATGTTTCGTTAAACTGCTGTTTCTCTGGTGTCTTAGTTAAAATGTTATAGAAGTTAGGAATATACATATATAGTTGTGAACATCATTAGTGTTCAGATTTGAGAACGAATAGAATAGTAAATTCAAGAGTATGTAAAATGTCAATAGAAATTTGACCAGAGAGCATCTTCGATAGGAAAATAATAAGTCTTTTTTTAAACCTCATTGGAGCTCATGAGGGAGCTTATTAAAGAATAATGATTTAAAACTGGACTGGAATTTTAGCATGGGGCACCCTCCCAAAGGTGCACACTGAGGACTTATACATGAGGAGTTATACAAATTAGTTTACTGAATTAAAAAATCTGTGCGTTGGGTGGATTGCTTCATGTTATAGCTAACTGCCTTCGTCAGTAAGAGTGAGATGGACTGTTTCTTTAACACCGATTTCTCATTCCTATTTAAGGCTTCCTGGGTGCTGGTAGCCCTTGGATGGGTCTTTGTTCCAGTTTACATTGCTGCTGGAGTGGTCACCATGCCTGAGTACTTGAAAAAGCGATTTGGTGGTAAACGGATTCGTATCTACATGTCTCTTCTTTCCCTGCTCCTCTACATCTTCACCAAAATTTCGGTACGTTTACCCTAGAGTCATAGGAAAGGTAAAGGCCGCTTGACCTTGATCATTAAAATTAGCAAAAATATAAATTTGGATTTGTTTGAAAGTAAATGCTTTTTGCAAATATAAGAACTTTAGGAAAGCCAAACAGAATAAGTATAGTGCATCAAAAGCCAAAACTTATATTTCTGGTTTTGAATAGAGGGGCAATAAAGCCTATCTCAGGTTTTTATTACTGTCTATGTGCCCGATAGGATGACTCACCCACCTTATCTGTCTCGCTGATAATGGTGACAGTGATACTCCAGAGGAACAGAGAGAGAGGGAAAATATCTTCCATTGGGAACACATGATGTAGTGACGGCTGCTTTAGAAGTGATTTTCCTTTCACTTCCGGTTTTGTCGCTGTCTGGAATTTCCACATTGACACATTGATGTGTGAATGGTAAAGTATCTCCAATTAGGGCCACCAGCCTAGTATATCTTATTAATACAGATGCTCCTCGGGTTGCAATCAATCGAGTTCCAAACTTTCGCATTTATAATTGTGTTTACTGTACAGTAAGCTCCCAGTTATTCGGCACCCACGGGATTGGTAGGTGCCAGATAATTGTAGTTTCTGGTTGCTTGGGATTTAATAGTAACTCTCAAGCAATCATACCCGAGGCACTCCGCTTCCCAATTCACCTGTCGGCTAGCTTCCACAGCCGGCAAGTGAATGTAAACAGCCGAAAGCAATAGCCAGCCTGCTATTGGCTATTGCAATAGCAGGCTGGCTATTGCACTCACCCACCGAGCAGAGGAGCAGACCAGAGAGAGAGAACTTTCTCTCAGGTCCATTCCTCCTCTTAGTGATAACAGCTAGAGCAGGGGCATAACTAGAAACCACATGGCCCCATAGCAAAAGTTTTATGGGGCCCCCTTCCCAAAAAAATGCAATTGAACACCCCCCACTAATGTTGCCACCCCACAATGTTTATATTTGCTGCATACAGTTTCTAATAAATCTCAATGGAAATATTTTAAAATCATTTTTCAAGCGGAATCTTCAGAGCAGTAACGTCATCCTACCGGAGTCCATAGCAATAATAGGCATTGTTGTTCCTGAAAGAGTTACTGCCTACAAGCTGTGCTGACTGGCACATTTGCCAGAGCTTTGTGGTCATGAAACCATTAAAAATAAAGATTCAAATAAGTATTTTAATTGAGATTAGAAACTGTATGCAGCAAAAATAAGAGCTGTGGGGAGGCAATGGTTAAAAAGGTGAGTTATTTTACTGCCTTGCGCTCTACTTTAACACTGCCACCAATGAAGCTAGGGAAAGGTGTATAATTACATGTGTAATTTAACTCCCCCTCCCCCCTTTGCAATTTGAAATAGCCAATAGCGTTCTGGCTATTGCTCCCCATTGTGTACTGTCTGCTGCCAATTGCGGCAGTACAGTACACTACACACTCCTCAGTTTTCAATACAATTGGGTTACGAACAGTTTATCAGAATGTAACCTCATTGTAAACCGAGGAGTGTCTGTACTGACCCAGGGTATAAATGCTGTTGAATGTCCCTTAGCGTCCTCACATCTAATACAAGTCAATGGACCTGCATTAGACATGATTATGTCAGCAGTCCTTAGCCTGCCAGAGTCCAGGGGAGAAGAAGCTTCAGGGACCAGTCTAGCAGCCAGACAGACCCTAGACAAAAAAAGTACTTAACGCTTTCAGTGCCGGGGGCAGTCCCACTGCAAGAGTGAGTTTTTTTTATAATTTCAGAAGTTCTTCTTTGAAGCTGAACTCCAGGAAGATATTGAAAGCACTACTCAATGCACCTCTGTAATCATTAATACAGCATTAAATGTATTTTTTTCACTTAAAGAAATGTAAGTACCTGAATCTGACTTGCTATCAGTTTCTTGTAGTCCTTGTGCAGCAGAGCTCAAAATGGGAGAGGAAGAAGCAGCATTAGGGGCCAATCGGTTGTATTGCAGTGCAAAGAACAAGCTGACAGAAGGAGGAAGCAGTGTGACGGAATGATGAACTCATAAATGTGCTGCTTCTGCATATATTGTCTAGTCACAGACTGGAGGTGGGGATGATACCTGTAAGTGAACGTGAAATTGCAGTAGACAGGGGCGTCCTGAGGCCGGGTGTCACCCAGAGCGGAGAGCAGGTAGCACCCCACCGTGACGTCATTGTGCATGCGCGGCCGTCTTATTGACGCCTGCCAGCGGCCATTTTGGTGATGGACGACGGAAGAGAGAGGAGGGGACATTCACCCGGCGGGATGAGGTATGTCGCCTCCTCTCTCCTGACACTGTCGGGCTCTTCTTGGTCCATGACCGAGTGCCCGACTTTTTAGAGGGGGTGACACCAAAATGAGTCATTTTGGTGTCACCCCTCCAATGGTGTCACCTGGGTGTGGGCCGCACCCCCCTTGTGACGCCACTAACAACTATCAAGTCTCCTTGTGCTATATTGCGGAGCTGTGAAAATCCTAGGACTGAATGCACAGAAATACAGCAGCTTAGGCAGTTGTATTATTGAGCTGCTTGTCTGGAGTTCAGCTTTAACTGAATTTTTTGTGTTTATTTCATGTTTTTTTTGTTCTGTTTCAGACAGACATTTACTCGGGAGCCCTCTTCATCCAGGTGTCACTGGGATGGAATATTTACCTGTCCACAGTCTTACTGCTGGTTGTGACAGCAATTTACACTGTTGCTGGTAACTATCAGCATTATCTTCTTATGATCGCAGCACGGTGTTCTAGGGTGAACTTTGGCAAAAGGAATAAACAGGAATAGGAATGTGAATGTGAAATATAGTGGCCACTTAACTAACCGATGTGTTGACAAACATTAGGATTTTTCCAGTCTGGCAATGCTCCGTGGGTTTCGGCTTACTTAATAGACCCAAAGTGACTAAATAAGAGAAATTCATTGTTATGGTTTATATATACAGGTGAAACTCGAATAATTAGAATATCGTGCAAAAGTTCAATTATTTTACTAATGCAACTTAAAAGGTGAAACTAATATATGAGATAAGACTCATTACATGGAAAGCAAGATAGTTCAAGCCGTGATTTGTCATAATTGTGATTATGGCTTACAGCTCATGAAAACCCCAAATCCACAATCTCAGAAAATTAGAATATTACATGCAATCAATAAAACAAGGATTGTAAATAGAACAATATCGGACCTCTGAAAAGTATAAGCATGCATATGTACTCAGTACTTGGTTTGGGCCCCTTTTGCAGCAATTACTGCCTCAATGCGGCGTGGCATGGAAGCTATCAGCCTGTGGCACTGCTGAGGTGTTATGGAAGACCAGGATGCTTCAATAGCGGCCGTCAGCTCTTCTGCATTGTTCGGTCTCATGTGTCTCATCTTTCTCTTAGCAATGCCCCATAGATTCTCTATGTGGTTCAGGTCAGGCGAGTTTGCTGGCCAATCAAGCACAGTAATCCCACGGTCATCGAACCAGGTTTTGGTGCTTTAGGCAGTGTGGGCAGGGGCCAAGTCCTGCTGGAAAATGAATTCAGCATACCCATAGAGCTCGTCTAAGGAAGGAAGCATGAAGTGCTCCAAAATCTCCTGGTAGACGGCTGCGTTGACCCTGGACTTAATGAAGCACAGTGGACCAACAGCAGCAGATGACATGGCTCCCAAAATCAACACAGACTGTGGAAACTTCACACTGGACTTCAAGCATCTTGCAGTGTGTGCCTCTCCATTCTTCCTCTATACTCTGGGTCCTTGGTTTCCAAATGGGATGCAAAATTTGCTCTCATTAGAAAAGAGAACTTTGGATCACTGAGCAACAGACCAGGTCTGTTTTTCTTTAGCCCAGATAAGACGCTTCTGACGTTGTTTGTTGTTCAGGAGTGGCTTGACAAGAGGAATACCACATTTGAAGCCCATGTCCAGGATCCGTCTGTGTGTGGTGCCTCTTGATGCACTGACTCCAGCCTCAGTCCACTCCTTGTGAAAGTCCCCAACACTTTTGAATGGCCTTTTCCTGACAATCCTCTCCAGGCTGCGGTCATCCCTGCTGCTTGTGCACCTTTTTCTTCCACACTTTTCCCTTCCACATAACTTTCTATTAATGTGCTTTGATACAGCACTTTGGGAACATCCAACTTCTTTTGCAATTACCTTTTGAGGCTTTCCCTCCTTATGGAGGGTGTCAATGATGGTTTTCTGCACAACTGTCAGGTCAGCAGTCTTTCCCATGATTGTGATTCCTACTGAACCAGACTGAGAGACCATTTAAAGGCTCAGGAACCCTTTGCAGGTGTTATGGCTTAATTAGCTGATTAGAGTGGGACACTTTGAGCCTAGAATATTGCACCTTTTCACAATATTCTAATTTTCTGAGATTGTGGATTTGGGGTTTTCATGAGCTGTAAGCCATAATCATCACAATTATGACAAATCACGGCTTGAACTATCTTGCTTTGCATGTAATGAGTCTATCTCATATATTAGTTTCACCTTTTAAGTTGCATTAGTGAAATAAATGAACTTTTGCACGATATTCTAATTATTCGAGTTTCACCTGTACTTTGACATAACAAAGTGATACAGGTTCCATGATTGGATTCCTCCAATACCATACCTAAGTTTAGCCAATCACAGAACTCATGTAATGCACATACACATGTAACTTAAAGATGAGCTAGCAATCCTGATGTGAAGTTACAATCAACTAAATGTGATTTCCGGAGCCATTTTGCCCTAAAGTTTTAAATGAAAGCTTTCAGTGCAATAAACCATACAGGAACAGTTCACCTACTAATCTGTGATTACTGCTGACAGCGATGTGTGCGGCAGCTCAACCTCCCTTATTGATAAGTCCCACTATAGTCCAAAATGCCTCAACTTAGAGCCATTGCTGGTAATGGTCATGCATGTAGAAATATTTTCTTTGGTTCAAAAGGCATATTGGAGTGTGCACATCCTCATTGCGTAGAGGAACACAGGGTAAATGCATTACCTTAATGCTATACATCGACAATAGAAAGCACATTTGCTAAGTATGTCCATTCATCTTTTATAACAGGTGGGCTAACTGCAGTGATCTACACTGACACCCTACAGACAGTCATTATGGTAGTGGGTGCTTTTATTCTTATGTTCATCTGTAAGTATGCTGCTGTTTATTCTATTACTTTTCTACATTATCCCAACATGGCCAACCCTAGTACCAGCATGTGTATCTAAGATTAGAATTTTTTTTTAAACTTATCTGTAATACAAATAAGATGTAATCTCCTTTGAAAAAGTAATTTGAATAATGAAATGTGTCAGTGGAGTGCATCCGTGAGAGTTACAAATACACTAAACGATTATAGTAATGAGAGCCTAAGAGAAACAAGAGTCTAATTAATTTTATTGTTTTAAATGTGTTTATTAAACTGAACACACTATAAGGTTTCTATTTACGTTTTGCATTGGGAAACTATTTATAAAACCATACTTCTTATGGGGCCATACTCCTTATGGGGCCATACTCCTTATGGGGCCATACTCAAACCCATAAAAGATAAAGGGTCATGAAGTGTTGGAGTACTATTTTTCTGTGGTGGAAAGAAGAAATGGTTTCTTTCTGAAACTTTAACCACTGGAGATGCTTATGACGCTGAGTTATGGTTCTCTAGTAGGGATGTATTAAAGAATAGGGAGACATTTTAACCTAAGCACACCTATTCTTTTTGTCCCCTCCATTGGTCAAACAGATCCCATCCTCCCACTCCATAGATGCATATGCCTGCTGCCTCTTGCGTTTGTTGGCATACCACTCTGCAAGTCCTATTACTCCTGGCTGTTCAGTAGAGCCCATTGAAGTCTATAGGGTTCTCCTTCCTGCTGGGAGAAGGCGGTAGATGAGTCCCATTGAAGTCTTTGGGGTTCTACTGTACAGGTCATCTGTGGAGGGGGAATGTGGGACTTGTTAGGTCAGGGGACGGGGTCAAAAGAGTAATCAAGTAGACTTATAATTTAAAGATGGTAAGCGCCTGTCTAATTTGAAGAGTATGGTCCTGAGTAGAAAGCACTTTGAAGTGAATTGTGGAGTTAAGAAGACATCCCGGATTGGTTTATAGACTTTATTTGGCATGATGTACACAGTTGGATTCAACATATATTGTTTATACTTTATTTGGTGTGATACACAAAACGCATAATATA